TCTACTCTTATAATTTCTATATTATTTAAAAAAAAATTAATAAATTAACAGACCTTATCGTTAAAACCATCACAACCGTAGTGCCAATAATCATATTCCCCTTTAACCAAGAAACTGGTGCCAACTTCCGGTGGTGAAACGTTTCGATGAACATTCTTCAATAAATCGCTTGAATAATCAACAGTCATCTTCACTGTTGTAAAATAACTACCACGCGGCGAGAACCGTTACTTTCTACCTCCCGCTGGGCATAAAAACCACTCGACTTTCGCGTGTCTGTCGTAACCGCTTGAAAAAAAACCTAAACAGACCGTAGACAGTGAACGCGATGGCAAGTAGACCGCGAAGCTTCGTATTTCCCGGTTTAACGATGATTCGCGGCCATTCCGCGTATTTTTCGTCAGACACCTAACCTATACAACTCAGGCTGGTTCATGTCCGTTCGTATAATGATTTAGTGAAAGCGTAAAGGGAAATCTTTCGTAATCCGTATATCGTCACTTCGAAAGTGTGTGCCCGTGTAAAGAAGAAGCAAAGAAGAAGACGACAGACTTTGGCCTTTATGATACGCGTGAAACCTTGGTATCACCTGGGAACATCGTTCCTCGATTCACCGTCGCGTTACTCGTTCTCTTCGTTTGATAGAAACGTCAAAGCTCGTACTACGCAGTCACGCGCACTTCGTTACGTGTTCCTCTTGCTCGCGATCAAATATACGTTATTCAGTGGTTTGTTGTGGCGTTACTGCGAGCACAAAGAACAAAAGGATAAGTCGGTGAAAGACTGATCGACAGAATGGATACTGGAATCTCATAGCATGATGTTAATCTGGATAAACGAGTGTGTACGGATAAGACGAACGGAGAAGTAGTGGGCAGCGAGAGGGAGAAAAAACTGCGCGAAACACGCACCACACAGATTACGTACATACACGGTGAACAGTGAGAGTCGTTTATTCGAGGCAAGATGAGAGCGGTAATTTGGTACACGTAAGTGGTAAGTCGATGTGAAACATAATTGCGGCCTTTATTCGATTACGGTAGACCGTCAGTTTAGAAAACGGTGGAATTGGTCGGTTGCATTGTGTCGGTTTGACAGTTACACAATAGGCTCACCGCTTATCGATTTTCGTCCGATACGGCCTTTATTCGATTACGGTAGACCGTCAGTTTAGAAAACGGTGGAATTGGTCGATTTATCGCGGTTGCATTGTGTCGGTTTGACAGTTACACAATAGGCTCACCGCTTATCGATTTTCGTCCGATTAAACCGACGGAGATTCGCGTTTATTTCGCGGGAACTCGTTCGTGGCTGGCCTTTTGTTTATCTGTCATTATGCGGTGCGGTCGTTGCTTCGTAGTAAGTCTGAAGGTCGCCACTCGGGAATACTGTCAAGTATTTTAGGTTATGTTTATTATGTCACCTTAATTAGCGGACGGTGTTTTTGCGCGATGATTCGTTCGAATGTCATAATCCGATGAATAAAGTGATTTTCAGGTTACTTCGTTTCTCTCTGCCTTTTTTTTTTCAATTACAAAATGATCGATATTTCGTAAGCATAATTATCGTTCACTGTTGCGATGAAATGACGTATGTTGTTTTTGTTTGTCCGCTAGTGAAAAGTCGAAGGATGTTTCGAGTATAAGCTGTGCAACGAAATAGGAAATATGTATGGTGCAGTGCGCGAGGAGGTCTCTGAAAGTTGGTTACACACATATGACTTAAGCAGTACAATGATTCCTAATGTTAGTTCGCCGATCAATGATGAGGAGCACTTTTGCAAGTTCATCTTGTACAAAGAAATCAAAGATTCAAGGTAAATAACTTATTAATGCTGAATCAGTCATGGATCAACTTGTTTTCTTTGTTTCCAGAGTACGAATATGGGATGTTGTCATATTGATACCAAACCTCTTGTTTCTTTTATTCATCGCAGTGAGATTCAATAGAGCACGGCTTAAATTAAGAGCAACGAGTAGTCCAATATATTTAGCATTTTATGGACTTGTCATTTGTAATGTAGTGATTTCAGTGATAAGATGTGTTGTTTCTATGACTGTAAATGCAGCAGCCACTGTTGGGGGTAAAGTGGACAAAGTACTATGGGTCACAGTAAGATTTTTTTTGTTGTCCACAGAGATGAGTGTGGTTATATTTGGTTTAGCTTTTGGTGAGTTTGCCTCGGTTATTTAAAAATTGCTTATGAAACTTTCCAAATTTATGATTGTTCCTTTTAGGACATTTGGATAGTCGCTCAAGTATTCGCAGGGTATTACTTGCTACTTCACTGATAGCATTGGCTTATACCATAACTCAAGGAACTTTGGAGTTAATTTTACCAGATGATACATTCCGTATTCCCAATAAAGATTTCTATGTATTTGGTCATGGAGGAATGATGTTTTGGTTTTGCAGCAGTATTGTTTTCACAATGGTAAATTCATTAAATGATAAATCAATAATACCATTTGTTACAAATAACCTAACTCGCTTCATAATCTTATTACAGATATATCTTTTTATATTAATACTGCCATGGACACGGTTAAGAGACCGCTTAACCCTTCCAAGTATGTTGGTAAACACAGTAACATTCACCACTTCATAATTGGTTCATTCATTATAAGCTATTTCTTGTTGCAGCAAAAAAAAGTTTTTACATTTACGCTGGTACATTAGCCATGCTAGACTTAGTACAATCAATTGGTGCAGGCTTTTTAAATTACACACAAAATCCAGTAGGATTATGTATCGTGGACTTCACTGCAGTAGTCTATCTAACTCTTTTTACGCCTTTGGTTTATCACACATTCCTATCAGAAGTCTTTGGGTAAGTGACTAATATCTAAATGCATCTAATTTCTCCTCAAATTAATGCACAAAGACGAACAACGGAATTTTTGTTACAGGGTTTCACAACCTTCGATAATGTTCTCATACAAGGCTCAAGTGGACGATGCGATGGATGAAGACACTGTGTCGTTGCCTCATCAACAGAGTTTCTCTTCGTTAAAAACAGACAGCGATTATATCTACCAGGTCCATACTCCATCTAGTTACATGCCCTTGTACGATTCGCAATTATTGAAAACATCCTTCCGCCTGAAGCATAAGACCTCCCTGCACTCCCTAACATCCATGAAAGACTCCAAAAGCGGTAGTGGACACACTTATGACTTTCCAACAGTTTTGTACCGTTCCACATCCGGCATTAAGAGCTCTATTAGACGATTGAGTGCAGAAAAGAGTGTTTCCGACTTTAAGAACTATCCTTTAACGAAATCAGACAATTTCATCGATTCGAAAAACAGCTCACCCGACTTGAGATTCCCTAACAAAACTTGGAAAAGCAAATCCACGTCGCAATTTAAATACGGCGGACCCAGTAGCGTCTCAAATTTGTTTTTCTCCCCAAATACTGCTAGTAACTTCCTGTACAAACCTGGAGCGAATGATAGCAACAGTAATTTATTTTCTCTCACGAGAAAGAGTAGCTTGGAATATGCAAGAAAGCGATCAGAGGCGAATATGAGCCAATTTTTTGAAATACCTCCATTGGAAAATACCTTGCAATCTATTCTGGATAGCAGCATAAACGAGTCAGAAATGAAGCACAGTATATCTGCTCATGAACCTTTGATGAAAGAGACCACTGTTGCGCTAGTTTTAGAAAGCATTGAGAAGAAAGAAACGAGTCCATTGATGCAGTATACTGACACTGAAATGTCTGAGATCGATGTAGAGGACGTGTTGGCCGATACGACAGACGTTTCGAATGCTACACAACAACTACTTAAATATACTATGACGCGCAACGAATTGTACAAGAAACGAAAGAAAAAAGATACACAGAAAAAGGAGTCCAGTGGTTTGAGCGCTTATCTACTGTCGACATCGGGCGCTCGTAAAGCTGAAAAAAATGAAGCAGATCCTAATTTATCCCCTTCCCATCATACTAAATCTTACACACAGACTGAGTCGTTATAAATATTAGGATTTATTACTGTTAGTCAGTGTAAAGTCTAAGTCATTACAATGTAGTTGTACATAAGAGAATCTTTTTAATTCAAGTTTTATCCTATTGAAAGAATGTCTCTGGAATAGAGTCTTTTATACCCACATGCAAATACACAAACGTGTTTGTTAATTAACAATTTTAAATGTATCATAGTGTAATATACATAGGAAAAGCGCACACGATGCTTTATTATCTGTGTATATATATATATACATATATATACACATATAGCATGTCTAGATTTAATTAAACTCATTAATGTAGCTGATGCACCTGGTTTTATTTATTTACACTAACTTGGCAGTGGATCAAGCTGACGTATCTCGTTTCGTTTTTTGTGTTGCAACCGGTGTATCTTACATGTTGATCACCATCACCTGCTTTTTTTCACCTCTAAATGAAGTAATAGACAAATCTTAATCCTATGCACCATTCTACGGCTTGAGACTACCATGATCCTTTCGTAATGTATGTGCAAAAGTAAATTTGCTGTATAGTGCCTTTAAATTACATCAAAAGAAAAAGATATACAAAAATAGAAAAAAATGTCTAACGCTTTGGATTGTCTGTGCTAATCTTTTATTAGAATTATATGTCCGTTCATCACGTTCAACCAGCATCATTTCCTCCTGTTGTAAAGTGCAGTCAGAACTGTTCTTTTGTTCACAGAATCACAGTGTTTACGATTCCACCCAATTCGACACGAACTCGACACCAGTGAATCCACTGTATGCAGCATCTTTGCAGAGTCCAGATAGCATAACTGGTTACAGTATAAACAGCCAAGAGGGTCAAACCCAGGTGAACGGTTATCAACAATGAACGAAATAGAGCTGATCCTCGTAAAATCTCACCCAAAGAGTGAAGGGCTGCGTGAAATCCACTGATAACGTGTTCCATCTTTCAATTCAACCCCCCTCATACACCATGAAAGAGAACAGAAGATCTCCATGGTATGACTCCACGGAAAAGAATCTAGTCGTTCTGAACAGTCTTAGAAAAGAGAAAGAAAAGAAATTTACAAAATAAAAAAAAACTTGATTTTCTTTTGTGATAACATATGATGGATTCTAAACTACCTTCCAGAGACAATATCGATCCTTGAGTTAACGTTTCACTTCTCATGGGGAACGTGATTCCGTACTTAATCGATTAGAAAAGATTCATTGTTCTTAGATCTACGAAAAGAAAAAGGAAAAGGAAGGATTTCATCGCGTCGAAGTCGGGATTGATCAGCGAGCTGCTAATTTCGAAAACTTGCTTATCGTTTCTCCGTCCTCTTCATCAAACACAGACCTCAAACTATAAAGTCTAAAAAAAAAAAAAAAAGAAGAAGAAAGGTCTCTTGTTTCGCGAAAGAAAAGAAGAAATAGAAAAAAGATGTGGAAACTAGATCTGAGCACGATTCGCGGACGAATTTCCCTCGCTATTTTCCTACTTTTGCATTAAGGGTACTGTTTCCAAAGACGACGAGCAAGGACAATAGGAGAATTGTTTCCACAGGGAACTTATCTTCGACGCTCCGCTAATGGGAAGAAAATAGAAGAAGACTATTTACGGAAGACTCCATCCATCGTGTTTAACGTGTATATACACCCTGTACTCTAGTGTAAAGGATCGTGCTATTTATATACTAATATATTATATACATACATATACATAACGTTATATAAAATTCATCTGCCTTTTTTTCAATTTGATACGTGACACGACGAATCATCAATCATTCGAAAATGAGGAGAAAAATTTGAAGAAAACGAAAAAAGAGAGAGAGAGAGAGAGAGAGAGAGAGAAAGAAATCTCGCGACTATGAATGATAATTGATTTTATTGAATAACCTATCGATGCACGACCCTTTGAAGCACCATACAATAAATGAATTACTTTTAATTTTTACACTATTCCCTCCACCCCCCGCCCCCCCTCTTCAACTGATTTGCCGCCCTCCCCCCGTAACCCCTCTGTATTTAAGCGAATCAACGATTTTTGTACAATTTGTAAAATGTTTTTTAGTCAGGGACCGAATAAACGACGAAGAGATGGGCTTCAAAGACGGTCGAGATGCTTAATTCGATGGAAAAAAAGTCGAATAGCAATACAGACCTAAGAGTATTTTATAGAGTTCGTTAAATAATTCGTGTAAATAAAAAGAAGAAGAGGGAGAGGAAGGAACAGCGAATTATCTGTCAATTGCAGTCGATTCACTCGCTCGAAATGCATATATACACACACATACAGACACACACTCACGTATAAATAATTAAAGTAATTAAAACTCGTTCTAACTCTAATTCTACCAAGGGAGCTTTGTTCCGGCTCTCTAACTCTGTCTGACGAACGTGATCAGCATCGTTTCTTTTTGTAATTGTCAGGTGGAATTGTAAAAGGCAATACTTCGGATCGCGTAACACGATTATATATTTAATGAGAATAAAGTTACGTTTCAATCGGACATTTTTGACGACGATT